GCATGATGACGCACACCTGCGGCGGCGGCAGCGGCTAAATTTTGTGCATTCAGCATCGCAGTTATAAGGTTCTGCTGTTGCTGCGGTTGCTGCTGCAGCAGCCGCTGCAGAACAACAGAAACAGCAACAGCAGCAGCAACAACAACAGCAACAGAACAGCCTTACAACTGCGATGCAGAATGCACAAAATTTAGCCGCTGCCGCCGCCGCAGGTATGCGTCATCATGCACTGTTACCACCACCAGATATGCATTCGGCAAATCCCTTTAATCTACTGCGAATGCCCTTGCCTCCAGCTTTAACACAAGGTCCAGTAGTTCCTACGGTGGGTCCGCTATTTTCTCGCCCTCATCCTGATCACTATCGCATGGAGCAATTAGTATCTGAGCAATTCCGTCATCATGGTCTTAATTTGGCTGCGGCCGCCGTGGCGGCTGCTAGTTCATTAGCAGCCCCACGAACACCAACGACACAATTCAGTCAGCCTCCTAGCGTTCCAGCGGGTACATCTATTGAGCAACGTCCTCCATCTAATAATAGTACTCACAGTAGCTCAGTGCCTCCAACTTCAATTGCACCATTGGGTGCTCAACCAGCTCCATCGAATTCACAAAATAGCACTCTGTCAATTGAGCCACAGATGGATTTTTACTCGCAGCGATTGCGACAGCTTGCAGGAACTACCAGTCCTGGAGCTGGAAACATTGTTAACTCGAGCTCGCCGAGTCCTAGACAAAAGCAATCGCCTCATTTTGCGAGCCCATCTCCGTCACATCAACTGCCACCTACGCCAGTCACTAATAATACGCGACCACATTCATTAACCCCACCTGACAAAAGTGATATAATGACTGGCGAAAGTGATGCCGTTTTAAATACAACACCGCGCTCAGCATCAACGCCACCACATAAGCCCACCCAAGAATCAACAATGAATGCGGCCATTGTCTATTCCTGTTCGTACTGTGAGAAAAAATTCCGTTTCGAAAACAACCTCATAATTCATCAACGTACACACACTGGCGAAAAGCCTTACAAATGCACAGCATGCGATTTCGAATGTTCTCATATTCAAAAATTAATGAAACACATGCGTGTCCATCGGAGTCCTGCAGAAGATGGGGGTAGCAATGCGGGCTCTGTGGACACTAACGAAGGCGATACGGAGGCAGAGCAAGAACTCGAAGAAGAAAATCCTGAAGAAGATATTGTAGAAGAGGAAGAAGAAGATGATCCTGAAGAACCGGAGGAAATAGACTACGAAGCTGAAGACTTAAGTGTTAGTAATCGTATTGATACGAAAAGTGAAAGTCCTAAGAATACAAGTAGTAGTGGCCCCACATCTCTCGTTGGTGAATTAATGGACAAGTTTGGTCTTTCCAATATCGCTCAATATTCGGAAGCGTATAAGCAAGCCCTCCAAGAATCTGGAAATTTTAAGCACCTGGCCACAAAAGATAATGACAATAACAGCACAACCAATTCTTCCATGCAACAAATGACGGATAAATTAAATGGGTTTCCCGCTGCCATCCGTTTGCGCGAAGAGTTTGCGAAAAATATGTTTCAAAAACCACAACCTCAAGATCCGAATGCCCCACCTACACAAGTACCCATATTTAATCCATTTCCTAATCCATTCGAGTTGACGAAACGAATGAAAATGGATGGAAATGATTGGTGGAATATGCAGGCTTTGCATCGAAATGATACACTATTTGAAAATCTTAAACTGAAACCGTTGGGTCTTGGCTCTGCGAATTCGCTATTAACACAAAATCCGCTTATGAAGAAAGAAAGTCGCCAGCGTAACGATACATGCGAATTTTGCGGTAAAGTGTTTAAAAACTGTTCGAATTTGACCGTCCATAGACGCAGTCATACGGGTGAGAAGCCGTACAAATGTGAATTGTGCTCGTATGCTTGTGCTCAAAGTTCAAAACTGACACGCCATATGAAGACTCACGGTCGCACCGGCAAAGATGTGTACCGTTGTCGTTTCTGTGATATGCCTTTTAGTGTACCCTCGACACTAGAGAAACACATGCGAAAATGTGTTGTCAATCAAGGTAAAGCAGCAGCTGCAGCTGCCAATGCGGCAAACGCTGTGGCGGCAGCTCAAGCAGCAGCCGCAGCTCAACTTCAAGCGCAAATGCCCACCCAGCAGCTATCACCACCGACAAACTCATCATTTCCACCCCAGTTCGCGGGCATCGCTGCGAATTGTAGCAGCATCTCCCTGCCTAGCAGCATCGGTGACAATGATTCGAATGCGTCAACTAGCTTGTCATCGCAGCATGCCATCTCTTTAAAGCATGAGGCATGACTTTATCAAAATTGGAGCAATGGTGCAGGAGGTTTTAATCCTCCCACTCCTACACTCCAGCACCAGCAGCAACAATCACAGCAACAGCAGCACCAACAGCACCAGCAACAGCAGTCGCAACAACAATCCCAACAACAGCAACAACATATGCTAATGCGATCACCACGCCACCATCATCCGCATCATTTATCGCCCGCAAATCGCATGTTATCACGAATCTTTTAAAGATCCACGACAGCCACTGTGCTATTATCATAATGCATATCTTTAAGGAATTTCGTCGTGTAACGCGTCTTATAAAATCAGCAATAAAAATATACATAATAATTGGTTCAAGCGGACCAAGCTGCCTGACTTTCTAAAGAGCATTCTTCTGCAATTGTGGACAACAGACTTTTCCAATACCAAAGCAATACCTAACCACACACGGATATGTATCTATAATAATGAATTATTCCTTATTATATACTACAACACACACAAAAATTATACGACATTTAATTTCTTTAAGATCCGATACACGCTCAGCGTTCGTCATTTGCGCTACGATGAGAACAGTTTAGAAAAAATTTATCAAAACCAGTGAAATAACAGTCTTAAGTACTATAATATAATAATTTCCTATTGCAATGTTATTTTTATTTTAAATATCACATAAATATGATTGATCGTCTTAATGAGATTTTCATCGACATTTTCGACGATAACAATCTATCTATATTCGCGCTTATCTGGAATGAAAGCGTAAGCGAAAGCGAAAGCGAACAGGTTCGCATTTCTATGCATCTCTCTTATTATTATTATTATTATTATTATTATTATTATTTATAACTTGAATGCTTTTTCTAATTCATATCAATCAATCAATCAATTACTTGATGCAAATCACAAAAATAAAAATAAAAAAAATTAAAATAAAAATTTAATTTTTTATTTTTGTTTTAATTTTTTTTTTTTCTTTTTTTTTTTTTTTGTTATTTACATTTTATGTACTCTTTATATAAATTTAAATTTCGATCACTACGATATCGATTCATAATTATAAAGAAAGTGAGAGAAAAACTTGTTCTGCTATTATGTTTCGTTTTCTTTAGTTTGACACTTTAAGAGACTGACGATTTATTTGGTTCACCTTCGGCTATGTTTTGTGATCACCGTTCCCTTATTCTTCGTTACTTTACGTTAGTTATTGATTAATTTTGATGCATATATATATATATATATGTATCCATATATGTATACATATATGTATTTATACGGTAAATGTTTGCGAGAGGAAATAATTCTAAGCACGCACGCATGCACGCATGCACGCAAGCACATTTAGAAGCAAATAAATATATATCTATATATATATAATGTATTTATTTATATAATATAGATATTCACATGTGCATATACATATTTAATTTAGACTGTTTGACGACAATATAATTTGAAAAGGCGGTGCCAAGATTATTTTCTCCAAACATTTCCAAACAAATCACTTCTATGAGCGAGAACACACTCTTAAATAAAAACACGCACCGATGTATATGCATGTGAGTGAGTGATTTAAGGCTCGTGTGCTTGACCATACAATTGATTTGCCGATAGTTATACACATGAATTACATGTATGTAAAGATATGTATACATTTATACAATACATATGTATATATATATATATATATATATATATATATGTATATGGATATATGCCTGTATGTATGTATGCATATATATATATATATATAAAAGCATATATATATGTATATATATACATATATATATTATATTTTATATATATATAAATAGATAGAAATAGGTATTTAAACCACTGGGCCTTCTTTTGTAATTTATATTTTGCCTTTTTTAGTTGTAGTTGGATTTATCTAATATTAATTATTATTATTATTATTATTACTTAATAGAAATATTATTATTATTATTATTATTATTACATTTTTACAAAAAAATTCTTGTATCATGTTTATTAAAATAAATGTCAAAGTGTATGTATTTGGCGAAAGAATATTTGTGTGTATGCATTGATGTAGAAATATTTATAAGGGAGAGAAATTTTTGGAGCGAACCGAGTCTATGCAAGCACTCATGATACGTTCATATTGTTAATTGGAAAAATTTTCAAAAAAAAATGTTATCGAAAAAAAAAGAAGCGATACAATAACTCCGCAACTTTTAATTGAATTTCAATTCATTTCGGTTCGTTTGTCATCTTTGTTATCATTTATACAATGTGATCGATTCACAATTTGCAAAATGAACGCAAAGTAAAGCAGAAATGTACGAATGTATGCTGGTCACGGTTTTAAAATTAAAATAAATTTAAAAAAAAAAAAAAAAAAAAAAAAAAAAAACAAATAATAATAATAATAAATAAATAAATAAACATCCTTAGCAAATTGTCTTTGTACATATGTATGTATCAATGTTTGTATAAAATAATACAAAATAAAATTAAAAAAAAACAAAAACAAAACATACACACACATAGTTCATCTCGAAAATAATAAACATATATATGAATAAAGAAAAAAAGCAAAAAAACAAAACTAAAAGCAAAACATAAAAATACATAAGAGAAAAGAGAAAAACACAACAGCCGCGTTAGCAAATTCCTTTAGAATAAAATAAATTTAATCATATTTAAAACAGGACGCATACATTTGGTAAACAAGATTTGGTAACCGTTACTTAGTTAGACAGATGTATGCAACTACGTATGTGTGTATAAATTACAAAAAAAAAAAAAAAAAAAAAAAACAAAAAACAATCATTAGCTACAAATAGAAACAAGAAAAATAAAACAAGAACAATAATAATAATAATAATAAAAATAATGATAATATATGAATTTTTTTATGTGTAAAAATTTAATAATTTATAAGCCAAAATTGTATTTACTCTCTAAGTGTACAGACGTGTATGTTGTGAACAAAAACTCTCACGAATGGTTTACATGTCGTACGTGCCGGTAAAAGACAAAAATTCAATTGAAAATTTACACTTCTAATAAAAAGAAAAGTTGTATTAAAATAAATTTGATCATAACAGTGTTTGATTTTAATTTTGGTTTACAGCCATGCTACTTATAAATTATATATATAAATATATATATATATGCCTAATTATTGTGTGTATTATTAAAACGTACTACATTACTAAACAACAATCAAATATCAAGGTTTATCCATATTTAGCATAACTTAAGGGCAACCGTTAAAAGATCATCTAATGCAACGGAATAATGAGTTAAAAAATCGAAATATGGATTTTGTCTTCGCTTTTCTGTATTTCTCTTATAAGAAAAAAAAACACTACTTGCTCCCTAACGCAAACAATAACTTACAGCATAGTTTAAGGCTGTTTGTCGAAAACCGACGATCAACAGAAAATATCATGTGTTAGCGAAATTTTAAACATTTACATCTTTACTGCTGCAATCAAGGTGGCGCTGTTCATTTCAAGTTCACAATAAACGACCTTTTTTCTCCCAATTTTTTTTTTTTTTCTATTCATTCTCTCTCTAATTCCTAGCTGTAGGACATATAACAAGCAAAAAGATAACCATGAACAAACCTATTTGAATAATTACGTTTGCTAAAAGTCGCATTGTTATTCTTTATAGGCTTCTCGAAGATATGTATAAGGCTGGAGAGAACCCCTACAGCTTTTGATGTAAATGCAACATACATATCATTTTCATACTTGATTCGAATGAGCCTACTATTCACGTGCATACACTTGCATACAAAAATTCGTAATAATTACCCCGATCATGAGATTATTAATATAAACATGCTCATGCAAATTTTCTTCGTGTTATCGAAATCGTCTCTTGTGCTTCTTGATTGATCCGAAATTAGAATAGAGATTTAATATATATTTTGATTGACATCACCTTGAACCACATTGGTCTATTTTTCGGACCGCTTCTTATATGAATGTTCTCATAAAAAGTAAGTTCTAGTTTTTGACATTTTATTACCCAAATAAGTGACGAATGATAAATTTGTTGATTAAAAAACAATTTTGGATGTCGTCAATTGATGCTTCGAACCCTTTTGAAAAGACATTTTTCCGGTTAACATGTTTCACTTTTTTCGAAATTTTTAACTTAAGGTTTTATGTAATGCAAAAATTCTGCCTACGGAGTATAACGATTTATAATAGCACAGTAAGTGAGATCATAGTGTTATTTAAATTGTATATCAATTAATGCAAAAAAATTAAAAGAAAAGAAACTTAAAATTATTGGTTCTCGATGGCGAAGGTGTTTGGCCGTTTAGAAATCAACACAAAAGGATATGAATATTTATTTCTTAACCGCTGCTAAAAACTACAATATTACCAATGACTAACTGGTACAGCCTTTGAGAGCGTATTATATTTTGTCGCTTGCACTTGATATTTGGTATACATGCATATATATATACATATATATATATATATATATATCATATAACATATATCTTGGTGTAAAAATAACTCAAATATATGCATATATATATATATATATATACAAAATGGCTATCGTGAAAGTGACCAATCCAATAGAGTATAACCTCCCATTTAGAAAAACGTTGCATTCAAATCAAATCCTCAATAGAGTCTATGTTACCCGAATACACTCACAGTATACGCTTGCTTGCTCTAGTATACAAAATGAAAATCCATATAGGAAATATATATTTGACCAGCAGCATATATTTGCTCATGAGAAAATCATATATGAATATGTTATATATAACTGGACAAAACGAACAATTGAGAACAAATGGAGAAATGAGCGAATATTTTGCTGCTTTCACTGAGCGCATATACATACAATATATTACAAATACATAGAACTTTGTAATATAATTGAAATTGTTTTTCATATGTCCGCTGCAGAGAACATGTATGACGAAGAAGTTTTGTAAGATTGAACAAACAACTCTTGGGAATCAGTCTCATACACGAAAGTCCGTATGCATGCTATACACGCTATACATGTTACATGCATGCATGTTATGTTGCATACCGTAAGTAATACAAAATTTCAGTTGCGTTTGCCTTGGCTATGTTTCTCTCTCATTTCAGCTGGTTGGAGAGGCGTTCGAACCTGAAAATCTGGCATTTTTTAATCAAATATTTTTTAAGCAAGCATACTGTTCGTTAATATCTCATAATCAACAACAAATAAACATGAACGCACATATGTTACAATATAAAATATTGTACGAAAACGAAAAATGTGATCGATTCCTTCCTCCTCGTATTCGTATCAGTGGGAAAGGAGTCTGTATGCAAAAAACATAATTTACTTTATTTTTCGTACCTATTCTAATATCTTGAATATTATGAAAAATGCCGCGATGTGGTGCAGCGTTACTAAACTACTACTCGACTACTATACAATTGAAGTGTAATTCAATTGGTACAAGATCGAGTGTTTTAATTTCACTTGTTGTTTGGCTTCTTCTGCAAGCGACCAAACTAAACGAATTAAGAGGGGGAAACAATTATATGAGCTTAAAAAAAACACTTTTCTTTTATCAATTTTTTTTGAGATGGAAAGGAAGATGACAGGATAATAATAATAATTCGCGGAGATAACTAAGTATAAAAATATGCTAGCACTGGAGCGATTCTTCTGGGACATGCTTAATTTGAGGAATTCTGCGACCTAGGCGTTTTTGATGGAAATTTAAATTGAATAAAATATTTCTTTAATCTATTTACTATATCTACAGCTGAAAAATCTCGTAGGGAATTCTAAAATATTACTTTTTGTGTAATTGCCGAGCGTTTGAGTGAAAATTTCAAAAATTGTGATTAATAAAAATAAACTTATAGAATGTCGCCCAAGCGGGATTGCAGAGAACATTATTTGACAGATA